GTGCAGCTGGATAAACAAAAGAATTTGCTGGTCTTTTAGGGTGAAGAAAATTAATTAAATTTAGTTTTTTTTGACGCCATGAAAATTTCGTTTTGCGATAAATTATATGTACGCCCAGTAGCCGTTGGGATATTTTGTGCAGCTGGATAAACAAAAGAATTTGCTGGTCTTTTAGGGTGAAGAAAATTAATTTTTACTTCATCTCTAATTACATTCACTTCTTGTACAAATCCTAACCACCAATCGTTTTCATATGCACATGTTACATATCCTCTAATCTCATCGATTATCAGATCCTCAATCAAAGGATCTTCACGTGGATATATTGACATTCATTGCAGTCACCAAAATAACAGGTGGGTAACGGGGGATTGCAAATCATTCTGCCTATAACATCTCTATAAGTTAATATATCCTCACCATTTTTAGTCAATGTTGCTAATTCACAGCCTAAAATCATAAGTTTAATATTCTGGTATATGCTACAAAAGCATACACTATGTGTTCCGCTAGCCCCTGCTAATATACAATTTTTTGGTCTTAAGCTAGCAAATTTCGAAAATCTAATTGTTAAGTTTAAATTCTCGCCTTAAAATGATTATATAATTCTTTCAAATTATTAAGAACTAACCTTTTTTGAGCGTTCACTCGTTCCCCCTTTTCAATGATAGATATGCAATCTTTTTTTCCTGGTAATACCCTACTAACTTCATCACTGCAAATTTTTTTTTTTAACAATATCAACTGTTTTTTGATTGAGATATTTTGCAGGCTTTCGATTTGGAGTTGAAAGAATCCCCTTTTCTTCTAAAATGATTTTGGAATTATATGCCATATGATATGTTGAATGTCGTTTTTATTTTATTTGCGCTCCAATTAGGAGGCAGAATGGTCAGCAATTGATATTTTTTATTTTTAGATAAATTGGGATATTGTAATTTCATGTTATTGAGTATATCATTATTATCTTTCGTATCCGAATCTGGATTGTTAATTATTATAATTGTAATCGCTTTTGTTATTTTTGCTGCCTTTTTTTTGGATAATTTTTTTGGTTAGTTTTTTTTCTTCTTAATATGAGATATTCCTATTTCATTTAAAGTTATATTGATTTTATCTATTGATGTTGATGCTGTGCTGTTATTTACATATTCACTATCAGAATTTATATTTTCGATATTTTTTTGTGTAACTTTTTACGGCATTGATTACAAATATAATGTTCCGCCTCAATGTTTGGATATTGTGTCATCCACGTCATGACTTTACGCAGGTTCTTTTTATAATTAAAGTGTTTAGATTCTTTAAAAGGATTTACGCATTTATATTTATAAATTATAAATAATTTTAAGAAGAAAAATAATTAATATCAAAATATTTGTAAAATAAAAATTAATTAATATTAAGGCAGGTATATGAAACTAGCTTTTATCTTTCAACAATTAATAATTATATTTATTTGTATGAGATATCGGAATCTTAACTATCTTTTTACGTAATTTAATCATTTATTATAAAAACTAATTTTTACAAGTTATCAATATAGCAATAATAATAAGTAGTGATCTTCATCGGGCCTAATTTTTCAAGCCCGGCCCGAAATTTTTTTCAAAAAAAGTTTTGCCGACCCGAACCCGAAATTTTTTAAAAACAGTTATCGACCCGGCCCGGCCTGAATTTATATAGGAATTAATTTTTATAATTACTCAAAATAAAAGACATATATGTCGTTTAGTTTCAATAAATAAAATCAAATATTTTTATTTTACATAAAAAATTCAATATAAAATTGATAAATTTATATATATTTAAAGAAGTTTCCAAGGTCCGACCCGACCCGGCCCGAATTTTTTTTCAAAATATTAGGCCCGGCCCGAACTCGATTATTTTAAATATAATTAAGCCCGTCCGGGCCTGGCCCTACTTTGCAGATCTCTAATAATAAGTAAGCCTATCAAACGATCTATATAATATTTTTTCTTGATAGTAATGCTGGAAAATCTTATTATTTATGTTTAAAAGTGAAAAAAGTTTAAAAAAAATAATAATTATAACAAAATACGTTATTTTTTAAAGGAAACTAAAAATCCCATGGCTGTCCCAAGTTTAAATTTTTTTTATGAATAGATATAAGGTTAGAGAATAAGAATATATTAAATTCAAAAAAATTTGGAAAGCGAAACTGGAATTTTTATGTTTAAAATTTATAACGTAAATAAAAACCGCAACAATATTATTTCAAAAAAATCCTTAATATTTAATAAAAGGCCTTTAATAAGTTACAAAATGACATATAACTTATATTTTTAAGATCATTATTATTTAACTTATCTCAATTTCAAAAAATCGTATTTTTCGAAAAAAGGTCATTTTTGGCACTTTTGACCATTGATATCTCTGGAACTATGAGTACTAGGAAGCTAAAATCTTGGATTCGATGCTTTCAAATGATATTCTCTCAACATACAAAATTTTATGTAAAGGTCGGGCCGAAAAGTTATCGATTTGGTATGGAATTACCCTACTATACTTGTGTCGATTTTGCATCAAAGTCCAACCTCCTATTTTCTGCCATCGAAAAGGCAGAAATCCTTCAAAAAAAGCAAATATGCTGGCCTTACCAACACAGTGAATCGTTACCAATACCTTAGGCATGTTCGGAAGTGAGGGCCTCGATTTCATTAAGACCATGGGGGAAAAGTGAGGCAGATCTCTGGGGGCCCCAATGAAGGATTTTACCGGTCCAGTTTCACTCTTCGTGATATGTATCTTTTTTAATATTTTTCTTTTTAGTTCTTTTTAATTGTTTTTTTTAAATATTTTTTTAATTCAATATTGTTCATATTTGTATTTAATTTTTTAAAGTTTTTTTTATGATGATTAAAAGAAATCATTTATTAATGAAATAAAAATTTTTCTTGTGTTCTACAAGGTAATCAATAATTTTATAATTCTATTTTAAAGAACTCCATCTGGGAATCCTTTTCACAATAAAATTGCAATTTGGTATCGATTAAAAAATCTTGAAGATTTGTAGGCGCTTTACGTACCCTTGATTATTCTTGAGGGATGAGAATTAATTTTGATATTAGTTTCTCAGCCTTAATTCTTATCAAATCAAAAGAATTATCACGTCTTTTATTTTTTAATATATTAATCTCAAATCAATACAATTTTTAGCATCCACTATATTAGTACTTAGACTGTAGATACTTATTTAGTGGATCTATTGTTATTAATACCTCATAAATTAAAATGGCCAATATAATTGTAATTTATATTAATGATAAAAGATCAGAGGCTTCGACTGAATCATGAGTCCTCTGAGTTAAGTGTTCTATTAGAAAAATAAAATAATACTTCACCAATAACTTCAAAATTCTTATAATTGATACGAGATGTTTCTATATGACCTGTCCATCTATGATCTAAAAGTCTCTATGGCCTGTATATTTTACAGGATACTTTAAAACGCCTAAAAAAGTTATGCAATGCATTAAATAAATTAAAAAATTAATAAAAATATTATTTTACCAATTTTGAACCACAAGATGCAACTTATGGTTGTATAGCAATGTATATAAGTTTATTAATTTTTCTTGAAGCAGGGTTTGTACTCCTTCATTTTGGCCAGACATGACGTTTGCACATCATATGCCTGGCTTATTACATTCAATGATTTAATATTTAATTCGTCTTTCTTTCTTTCTTTATTATTCTTAGGTTTTCACAACTTGTTTATTAATTTGTATAAATATTTTTATAAAGAAGTATTTTCATATAGATTTAATTTTTAATGGTGAATTAAAATTTAATATATTTTTTTTAAATTTTGGAATCAAAATTTTTTTCGAGGGCCAGGTTCGGGGGAAAAAATTATTTTTGATGGGGCCTGCTCCTCGTAGCCACGGCTCTGCATATTTTAAACTGTATTGTTTTATTAAACAGCTCGGTTTACGTCGATTTTTAAAAACGGCTAACTTAATATTTCCAAAAAATATAAACCTCTAGATTTCGCTAATAGATGTCCAAACTTTTGCACCATCTACGATCAAAATCTTCAGGCTTGCATAGTTTTTTTTGTGGACAATATATAGAATTAGCCGTTTTTTAAAATGGGCTCAAAAGCAATTTGACAACAATAACTTAACTGTTAACTGCTATATCTCAGTCATTACTTTATTTTTCGTCATGATATTTGTAAAATTTATATTTTTTAATTCATCTGTTTTATATGATATATAATGAAACTTATCCATTTATAACAATTTCAGAAACTTAATCAAAAAAATTAATAATTCATTAAAAATAGTATTTTCCATAAAATAACTTTAAGTAAAATTAATATTAATTTTTATTTTTATAATTGCTAACACAATAAAACAGTTCTAGTCTAAAATGTCCATTTATATTAAAGTATAGCATTTTTAAAAAATTTGGACTGATCAAAATTGATTTTCTTCAAAGAAAAAGCAAAAAAAAATAATAATATAAAAATGCATTTAAAAAAAGGCCAATATTAAAATAAAAATAAGAAAACCAATAATAAAACAAGAAAAATGTCATTTTCTTATCAAATTTTACTAAATATTTTTTATTATATTAATCTTAAAATAACTTGTAACAAGTAAACATATGAAAAACTAAAAAAATATAGTCTAGACAAAATGATTTATTTTTTAGTTCCCACTTCTATTATTCAGTAATAACGTTTTCTTAAACTCTGGAGTCTATATGAATCCCGCGAATGCTCGTGGGGGTTGAATAAAATTTTTGTATTGGAAATTTTTTATAGAATATCCACTACCACAAATTAGCTTATTCTATTTGTATTAATTAGATTTACTACCACCATTTTAATACCTGTCGACTTTGACACATTAAACTTATAATGTTATTAATTTAAGTTATTTAGAATTAAACTAGGAAGCGGTGAATGGGGATAATTGAAATTAATTCTGCATAAATTTTATTTCTCTATGATTATTTGATATAAATAGGAAGATATAAGATCTCATTTCCTCAATATATCACGAATCATGGATTGCGTTTCTTGTGACAAGTGTCGTCTTTGGGGCAAACTGCAAGTAAATAGGAAATCATAATCTTTCCTTTAAATAAGCAATTATTTCACCTAAACCACCCTAAAAATCCTATCCAATTTATTTGTTCCTTGAAATTACTTTTGTGATACTCAATTTTACCAAGTTAAAAAAGGTATTTACATTTAGGTAATTTCATGTGAAATCAATCAATGTTTCTTTATACCATTCTTAAAACGAATGGAACTTGGTACGATTTTTATATGTGAAGAAAATTTTATTAAAATCCAAATTTAAAGCGATGTAAGAGATAGTTACCTTTTAAAGTCCAAAATTTTACCAACTTGATTTTTATAATTTTAAATTACTTGATATACTAATATATAAATATACTTTAGGAGATATTTTAAAAAATTGAAAATCTTGAGAAGGGAATTTTATTTGAATGATAAAATTCACTAGTATTTTTTTACTTTTGTATTTTAATATTTATTTATAAAAAGAATGGAAGACTACACTTTTTTAGATTTTTTTTTTATTATTTTATAAAATAAACAATAATATATTTAAAGGTGCTGTATTTTTTTCTAAAAAATATTTATTTTATTTTTTCCTCCCAACATAGTTTTAACTTATATGTGTTTTTCTAAAAAAAAATCGATATGGTTGCAGAATAGCATTTTTCAGCTAGATCCAAAAGGTGCATGTTGATAACCTTGGAGGCACGTTAAAGGGACTGGCTGCTTCAAAATGTAAAACATTGAGTTTTATATAAATTACATTATTCATGAATTTCACATATGTGACCAACAAAAATTTTCGATGATATAAAGTTATAAGTTCTGGAATTCAAAAAATGATACCATATTTCCTAGGATTTGAATCAAATTAAAACAAAATTGCAAGAAGCTTATAACCATAAATTTTATAATATCATATATGCAGATAGAAATAATTAGATTTTTAATGAAATCAAAGAATTCATATCATAATAGGCATATATGATGAGTTTTGATAGTTAGCTAACAAAAGAATTAAATGTCTAAAGCATTCTTATATCCCACAATTGCACAGAAAATATAGCTACAGAACGTACTTATAAATTGTATTCTTGAGAAATTCTATCAATATCCACACAATAGAATACGATAGAAACAAAAAAGTTTTTCCCAATGTTGTAAACGAACGCTTTCAAAAAGTTCTTGAAGAAAAATCCTGTTAATTTTGACGAACTTTGAACGTGAACGCGTTTATTTTTTTGTCGTGTTTTACGTTTTCAATTTTATTTATTTGAAAATAAAAAAATATTGATCCGACTATTTTAAGAAAAAGAATTATTTTTAATCAGCTGTATATTGGATTAAATAAGAATTGAATTAATAATGTTTTGAAAAGAATTGGGAAACACTTTCTCAAACTGTGGTCTGGTAGAAGAACTATTAGCATATCTTTCAAAATTAAAGAAACTGTCAAATTTCTTTCAGTACAAAAAGGGTTTACTTTAAACTTGGCGTTAATTTTTAGAAGTGAAATTGAAACACATAGTAAATGATAGTGATAGTTCTGAAATCATTTCACTCAAAGAAAATATGCTAAAAAAAACTTGCGTTACGATTTTGGGTTAGTGATCAGCAAGTTATAATATATAAGTATACTTATTTATTTAATTTATTTTTTATTTAAAAAATTATCTAGGTATTGGCATCTCTTTTAGATCCAAGATTAAAAATTGACAATTGTGTCAAAGTATATAATAGAGCAAAATTGCTCAGCTTCAGAATTTATAATAAAACATTTTAAATTTATAGAGAACGATGATATTTAGGTAGTAAATATCGCTATTGAGGATCAAGTGGAATTTAAATTCAAGTTATTTGACAAAATTGGCAAATAAACATTCAACAAAATACAAATTATGATTCCACGTTAGGTGACTTAGAACAAGAATGCCATATTCTTCTTGGAAAACGACATTCACAAGATATGATGTTCTAAATTTTTGGAGAGGAAAGAAGAGTGAACTTCCCAATCTTTCCAGGCTCGCCAAAATAATTTTTTGTATACCGGCGACTGGCACAGTCAGTGAAAGAGTTTTTTCTACCGCTGGATTGACGTTAAATTCAAAAAGATCATCATTATGTCCCGAAAATTTAAATAAAATAATTTTTATACATGATAATTATAAAATTACGAAATCGATTTTGGATTTATAATGAGTTTTCTATTAAATAAAGATTAAAAAATATGTCGATCGATATCTGTAGAATAATGTATATTTATTTTTTTTAATTATTATAAGCAATTAAAATAATTTATGTTATAAAAATTCATAACTGCGCCGATTTACGCTGCTTTTGTTGACGGCGGCTAAAAATCGGTGTGCCGGCGGCCGTCGATTAGATTTTTGAAAATTGCACCGGCCGCTGATAGTTTCTTCGGCACACAGGTCTAACTATATTTAAAAATATTAATATTTCGCATAAATTTTTAAAAAAAATAACACAAATATTTTTTGTTGTGTAATAGACTCAAGGACTAGGTACCGCTTTCAAGGTATTATTCGATTCAAAATTTTCGAATCCCAAGCATAAGAAGAATATGAGATTGAAAAGAATCGAAATTGTTGCTCTACTCAATGCCTTTGGAAGGTTTTTAATTTATTACTATGGATACCTGATTATTATAGGGTTTATGTTCACTTGGGCCTATTTTTCAGGAGAACGATTTTTAAAATTACCATGCTCTCTAGCTTAAGCTATAAGATATTTAGGCAAAAAATATTAGATATTCATACATTGACAAATCTATTTTTTAGAATTTTATTATATATTATAACCTTTTTGAAAACTGCAAGAAAGTGTAGATAAGACTGTTTTAATTCCTATCTCAGTATATAAATAGCTAACTAAACATTATTAAACTTTAAATTTCAACAAGGTTGTTTGTAGATAGATGTTCTAGCATCCTATACAAAGTGTTAAACCCTGAAAAAATATCTCCCCTTAACATATTTGATATTATTTTTTTAAAAATGCTCCCTTTTTAGCCAAAAATGTATATTATGACATGTTCTGGATCAAAAAATCGTTTATAGCTCAATAATAATTAGTCATGTCATGACGTTTAAGATATATATTTTTAGAAAAATTATTTTGTTGAGTTCTTATAGTAAAATAAGTCGTTATAATCAGGGTGATGCGTACAATGAAAAATATTGTGGTAATCCAATTTTAATCTGATAAGGAGATAAATTAAGATAAAGGGAGAGAATTAGAGGTTATGATAGATGAAAATATGGGTAAAGTATAGGAGGCGGGGATGTTTTGTGAATTTCAAAAGGGCCAATACTTATATTGGCTCGTGGCAAAAATGAATCCGGCGCCCTTTATTAAATTTATATTTTATTTATTTTCATTTGGATAGGTACTGTCAAATTTATTTATTTTGAAAAATCGTAATTTTTGGAAAACGTCTATGGCCTAGTCGGCAAGAACCTCACTTGCCAATCCGATGGTTCTGAGGTCGTATCCTAGCAAAGATCGTGTTTTTTTACTATATCTAACTTGGTGGTTCCATCCTTGGAGTGGGGGGGGGGTGATATATAGGAGACCAGACTCGACCACGTGATTCCATTAATATATATTTAATAATAAGGAGGTCTTATTACATTTTAATAAATTTTGGTCGGTATTTATCAAATTAGGTTGTTATTTAGAAATTTGTTATACATTAGCAGTACCATCACCAAATATACTTAAGCTTTAATCATAAAATAACTAATTTTGAATTTGTTTAAAATTTAAGAAAATGAAACGATTGTAAAATAAAATTATTGAAATTTTACTTATTTTATATATTTACAAGTAGCAAACATTTATTTTAAGTTTAAGATTATCGCCGCTATAATTTTCAATGATATTCTTTTTCTCTATTCCTAGTAAAACATAAAAATTCAAAAAATAATCATCTAATTTTAAATATAATCAATCAGCTCTTTTGAAATTAATGCACAATTATCTTATCAAAATACGAGTTTATAAAAGAATATGTAAAAAAAAGTTGTAAATACAACCATTTGAAATAGATAATATTTGTAATGCTTTACATTTTAAATAAGGAATTAATTTGCTTCGTTATTCATTACCAAAAATTCATTTAGGTGTTAACGTTCATTTACAAAAACAGAACCCGTTCAAATTCGTAAACTCGTTTATTCAAACTTATAAATATTATATTTTAAAAAAAATCCATTTAAAATTTAATATAAATAAATGCTAAATAATACCTTACTTTGTCATACTTTTATTTTGAATACGATATAGAAAATAGTGTATAAAAATATAAAACAATGATAAAATATGATTTAAAATGTAAATTTTAATATATTAAACATTTCTCTTAATGATCGTTTTTCAACATTTTCGCTTGATAAGGAATATAGATTCTTAGTTAAAACGGAATTTTCTACGTTAAAAACTCGTTTGACAAGAGCTGAAGATGGATTTACAATGTTATATTTAATAAATAAGGATTTTATTTTAGTATTTAAAACATTCCTTTTTTTTATAAACAATTCTCTCAAAATTGTCCACCAATTCATTGGGGAAGAAAATTTTTTTAGAATACAATTTGTCTTGAAGGTTCCTCAATTCTAGTTTTTCTACCGATTCTTTAAATATGATAGAAGTTTATTTTTTATTATTTCATTTTGTGAAAACCTTATTTAAACCTATTCGAGTTTAATATATGCTGTGTATATTTGCCTGCTGTAAAATATTTGCAAGAAACAGTTGATCTATTAGTTGAAATTTTTAAAAAATAAGTTTTATCTAAAATTTAAGTGTTAACTTTTTTAATTAGAATGAACATAAAAAAGAATGAATACGTTCACCAAAATTCGTCTAAAATACAAGGCTGTTTGTTCACCGGGTTTCAAAAAACCTACTCGTGGACCTTTTAAATTTAGCGCGTTTGTTTACAACATTATATATGTATTATATTATAATAAAATATAGATAATTTTGAATAAATAACCTTTATGTAAAATGTTAAATTGCAATTTGCATAAGATATGGCATTTGGCGGCCCAGAGTGGTCGTCTAATTTTCACAGGTCTGAGACCTTGTATTATGGAATATGGTAAAATAAAATATCTATAAAGTGGATAATATTTGGTAAAGAGTTTAGAGTACGGGATTAGAGTGAGTAAAAATCTAGAATAATATATTTTACAATTTGTATTCGATTCGAATTATTCTAATAACTTTTTTTCTAAGTTATTATAAAATAATTCCTACATAAATATTTTGACAGAATTTTTTATTGCATATTTAATTTTATACAGAAAATCAATTATGATTAAGAAGATATGATCAAGTTATTAGTGAAATTAAATGCATATAATTTAATTTTTAAGCTAAAAAGTTTTTTTTACTGTTTCTTCTTTATAAGACATTCGATTTTTGACAGCAAATTAGTACCAACTGAGAAGAGCTTTTCATAAGCATTGATATGCCTTTTATGGAAAGGTAATCCAGAGCCATTTTCGAGATTATGGGAATCCGACATGCATTGCTTCCACCACATTAATGGGTTAATATCACTTTTTGCTTCTGGCTCACTCAGATAAAAAGCAATTTCAAACTGTTGAATATTATTTAAAAACAATGTCTGGTCTATTGTTTTGTTGAATTAAATCCTTATTTATTTCACAGTTATCATTATCCAGCTTTTAAAAATACAACTTTCTTTCTGTATAACTTTTATAAATCTCTTTAAATTTATCCGTTCGTTTGGATATATCAATATTATAATGAACAGATATTGATTTAAAATATTCTATTTTAAGCCTGGAATCAAGTATTGTGATTATTATTGCATATTATAATGTTCAAGAATTTATCATAAGCAACCTTGAAACCATTGCTAAATTATTCTTCAAAAGGTTTTCCTTTATTGAGATGTTCAAGAATTAAATTATAATAAAGTATAACTAAATTATTATAATTTTGGTAAGAGCACAATATAACGAAAAACGAAACAGCAAAAAATTGGGAATCTCGCTTGTATCTTTTAAAAAATTTTAAAATAAATTTGAAGTTAATATAAGCGAGATTCCCAATTTTTCGCTGTTTCGTACCAAATTCATAATTTTTACCCACAAACGGTATTTGTAGTTTTATATGGTAATTTCCCATTCCTTCTAAATTTTAACAAAATATTATATTATTCCAAATTATAAATTTTAGGTTACCTTTTATATTTGTTATTCTTGAAGAATTTTAATATTTGTTATTACTTCATTAAGTAAATTTTTGATAGCCGGCTTTACAATAATCCCTTTTCAATCATTTATTATATTTCTTCAACACCCCCAAGTGAATAATGATATAAATTTTAAAAATGAGTATCATGATATTACTATATTTCAGGGTTATTTTAATATAATTAATTATTCATAAAGTATAACATTATCTAAGCACATCAGTTGAAATATTTATTAATATGGCTAAAAATATGTTTAAACGGAAATTCTCAGTGATGGAAACTGAGTTTTATTAATCAAAGCTAACAATAATATTTTATCTAAATGAAATATTAAAGTAAAAATGCCTAGATCAATTCCAATTTGTAGATAGATTTCCAATTTTGGCATTATGCACATATTAAAAATAGAATTCACTATTAATTTATAAATAAATTATATTCGAATTTGTTATTTTGAAAAATTTATTGTAAGTGTTCCAACATATTATCAGTTTAATCCTAAGGGGACTGATGTGTTATTAAACTTATGTTTGAACACGGTACAGTCATTTCACAGTCGACTCTACTTACCTCCTACATGAGAAAACGTGAAATTATTGTTATATACAAGCGTTGTAGTTTTCTAAATTTGAATATGGCAAGCAACCACGCCTCTCGCCTAAAACCTGTTTAAACAAGTGCTCAATAGGAGCACTTGAGGGAAGATGGGCATTGTATTTTATAAAAATATTTTTTTAAATCGTTATAATTAAATAATATATTTATTGTTTGTTTAAAAAAATTTATCCAATATATTATCAATTTGATTGAATCCATATCTTCTATATCATTGAACGATATTTTCTGTGTAATTGTACGTATTTTTGGAATTTGTTTTCTTATAATATTAATTTACCTACTTTTCAATTCTTTATTTTTATCCTCCTTATTCATTCCCAATCAGGCGCGTACGGAGCGGGGGGAGGGGGGCAGGGGGACAAATACCCCCCCCCCCCTTCTCCCAAGCCAAAAAATGCAAATGCCGGATATATTTTTCAAATAATTATTGTTTATATTAATTTATATTTGTTAATATTTATTCCTATATCTCATATTAAATATATATTTATTACATTTATTATCACATTCATAAGTTATTTTATCAATTAATTTCGATTTCAAGTTTTCCGGCATAATATTTACTTATTATTTTCAAATTTTTAGTGGCGTAATATTTATCTACCATTTTCAAATTTCTAGTCAAATAATAATTATTCTGAAATTGCCCAACAGGGAGAAAGATCCAACGAGATAGAGTCTCCGCCATCAAGCAGTAACAGCTTTTATGAAGTTAGAAGAGCCGATTATTTGCTATTACTGAAATATCACAATGGCCTGAAAGAAATATTTCCTCAGAAGCAAGAAAATTTGGTTCAATGCTTATTCCAAATTTTTTTCTCATTAGAATGTGTTATTTAATTATACAACTATTTTATGTATTACTTTTCAAAAACATGACATTGACTTGATTAAGAAGATGAGAATAGCTTAGAGAATTTTATTATAATTCAAGGAAATTAGGGCTAATGTTGATAAAAAATTTCATATTTTATATGTTATTGTTAAGTCAAAAGCAGAGCTATATGTGTTTAATATTTGTCTCCCTCGACTTGCAGCAAGGCAAGCTCATAGTTAAAACATTAATATAGGATCAGTAGAAGAGTATATCTTAGATACAGATACATTTATAACCCAAATAAATGAATGGTTTTTAATTCAATGCAGCACTTACCAATCTGCAAATATTACTTCCATAAAAGCCTTCCCAACCTTTTTCAGATGGTGATAGAAAAAAAATATATTTGTTGGATTTTTATCATGAAGATGTTAAAGTATCTTATGATGCCTTATTAACTGAATAACTATGTTTATAAGATTAACTATGGTTGATATAGTCCAAAAAATGCTATGCTCTGCATTATTTCAAACACATTTTAGATTATATTCCCAATGTATTAAAAGGGTTTATATATATTATCAACTCTTCCCATTAGTAAACTAATGAGAGAACATTCTCTTTTTTTAAGAAGAATAATAGAGCCCTGCAGAGATACCATTTGCAGGGCACGACCCGGGTTTTTTTAAAAAGATTTTCAGGCCCGGCCCGGCTTTTTTTAAAAAAAATTTTCAAGCCCGGATCGGTTTTTTTTAAAATAAAATTTTCAGGCCCGACCCGGATTTTTTTAAAATAAATTATATTTATTTTTGATTTTTATAGCTAATAATAACGATTTCAAATATAGGCTGTTTTAAAATATACAGCCCGCCCAGATATTTTTTTAAAAAAAATCAGGCCCAGCCCGGGTGTTTTTTTAAAAATATTACGGGCCCGGCCCGGGTATATTTAAATAAACTCTGAAAAACATACCTAAGAAGTACAACTTCTGAAAGTAGATTGAATGATTTGGATCTTTTAATTCATAGGCATTTGGCGACAAGCAAGGATGAGATAATTGGAAAATTAGCTCAATCACAACGAAGATTGGATTTTATATTGTAAACATATAACATACAAAAATACAATTATTCCTAAGAAACTTTTTGTGTAATAATTTATATTTCTAACATTTAAATTTTTTATACTTTATATATAAATTTTAAAGGCTTATAAAATTCAAATTTCTATTTTGAGTCATTTAAGTGATTTTTACATATATTTTTTTTTATTCACATTAATTAAAAATTGTGTATTAGAAATAGTTATTAGTCCTAATAAGTTTATGCTTGATTTTCAATAATATTTCTTAAAATATTTTATTATCCCCCCCCCCACCTCCCAAGACCAAATTCCTGCGTACGCGCCTGTTCCCAATTTAATTTGAATGGATAATAGCAGAAATTATATTATTATAAACAGATAAAACTGCAATAAAGTTATTCAAAAATTATAAACATTTTATCAATGTCGTATAAGAGACCAGGTTGGCGAAACTCTAAATTTGCAAAATCATATACTTTGAAGTGAGTCTAGATATAGTTGGAGTTGCGAACCCACCTTCAAGGTTTTGCCAAATGCTGCATAACCTAAAATTTATTCATTTCGAAAAATAACGATTATATTAATATCTGGCTATATTCTTTTATAAATTTACGTTCCTGGGAATTATAGCGTATAAGTCCTATTATCAAATAAATTATCAATATCAAGTTTTTCGCTTGATATTTTATTTAGGAACCATGGACTCATAATATGAATTCCATCTTATCTATTGGGAAATTTTTTAATTATTTTGTTTATTCCATAAAGAATGATACTTTTGAAATGAGCTTTTGGGGTATGATTTTAATTCTTATATTTTTAAAACTTTTCCTCATCCTATGCCTACTAAATGAATATTGTGACAAGCCCAGTGAAAGTTGTGCTTCTGGTAAAAAATAACTTTCTGCTCTGTTAATCAGTATACAATCGATACACAAGTTGAAAATCCTCATCCTTTAAAACTTTATACTCAAACATTTTACCTCTTTTAAGAGAAAGAAAATATATCTTTTAGATGGAAATTGTATTTCAACACTTTTATATTTGTTAATAAAACGATATTGTCTATCAGTGGCGTAGCCAGGATTTATCCATGGAGGTGGTGGGTTTGTTAAAAAAAATTTGGTCGTATTAATTTTTCAGTAGTTATCTTTATATCATCTTTGTTGTTGGCTGAAAATGCAAATACTAATTCTAAAATTTGCCAATATTTTATGTTTTATTAGTGTCTAACCACTATAGTAGCCGGCATAAATGAAGAAAATATTAGTAACAAAATTTTGGCCAAATTATCATTAATAAGCGACTGAAAGCATTATTCTGAAAATTTATCAATGTTTAATGTTCAATATAAATTTAAAAATTTATTGTAAATAACTGTATTTTAAAAAAATATAATTACAATAAAATATAAGTAATTTTTTTTGCAAATAACGGTATTTAAAAAAATATAATTTAACAATTATATAATATAAATAATTCTTATTGTAAATGCAATACTTTTATTAAAATAGTATAATATATAAAAAATATTTATATATTATGACTAAGAATTTATTATAATTAGGTTTTGCATATAAAATTTTGTGAACATATTATAATCATAATGCAATTTTATGATTTAAATTTATAAAGAGTGGTCTATTTTTCTCTAAGATTTGGCTAATCCATTTAAACGGTTTTCAGATTTTTAACCTTTTCAAAGTTAAAAAGATCTTTCATTAAAGCAGGTACTAATCGGTAAGGTATAAAATAAAAAACAATGTTTTGATATGAGACAGGGAATCTTTAGTGCAATTACCCATGGAAAGGGCCTGCAAAGCATTTTTTGATCTCAAATATTACTCATTCTGGCAAGATTTTTATGCCAAAATTCGACATCACAAAGTAACTTATACGATCCTGATAAATCATCAGTGCAAAACTCTTCGATTTTCATAATATCTTCTCGCGTTTCAAGTGTAATCAACAATTCAGACTCAACTGGTAAAAGAAAATAAAAGCTTTTTAAAATATAATGACTAATAAATCTTTCCTTTAATTGAAATAAAATTGCAATAAGGGGAATAAAAATATTAATTTTATAAAAAATCCTCAGTCATAGATACATCAATATTTAAGCGATTGAATTGTAGAAACTAGGTTTAAAAATTTCAATCCCTAACATATTAGCCGTCCTTTATTTTCTCGTATATTTAATGAATTTTTTCATTCACATTATGATATTTGTTAATATTTCAACAATATCCTTTGCCCTATTCATAACCTCCCTTAAATCCAAATCAATTTTTTATAGCATTTTGCTAAAATCAATGTATAATTTTATAAAAAATAGCATTGATTGATATTAAAAATCGTGGCTTCGTAATATAGCTTACAAAAGATTTTCAGCATCTCCGGAATCTTTTTCCTTGCCTGATATGTAAGATTCGACCGCTGCAAACTTCATACAATTCGATGAAAAGTCTCACTGACTGTTGTCTTTCAATAAATCTAGTTGGACAAAATCTTTTTAGTTGCTTTGATTATTTGAATCAAGGTTATCAAATATTTGTATAAAAAGCTCCCTCTTCTTTGGTGGTGTGAAAATGTAAACCGACTATATTGTTTCTTAATTTTGAAAAATAGATTAGAATTATATAAAGATTTCTATTAACTTAATAAATTCCAATTAAATTATAATATTTTTACGTAAAATTTTCTACAGTGAACATAGATAGCTGTGCTGGTAAACTATAATTCTTGACGGCACCCCTTTAACATAACCACTAATCGAGGGAGCTCCATATCCTTAGTCTCTCATTAGATTCAAATTTAAATGTAGGTCTTGAAGGGATGCTATAATATTTTTGGCTATCGTCTCTGATTTAGTGTCATGTAAGGCTAAATTGAACAAAAAGTTCCTCCATTTTGAAATCACCTAATCCCATATCAATTGCTATGGATGATTACTCTATGTTACCCATCCTACGTTTCGTCCACCAAAACACTAAAAAATGATGATGCTTTCACTTTTGCAGAAATTTTATTTTATTTCTAAATTGAAACCGTATTTTAAAAAAAATTAAATCCCCCTTCACTACGCCACTGTCTGTCTTTAGTGATTTTTATGTTTCATAATTTAGTTTTAAAAAATGGCGAGAACAAAAAAATATAAAAAATCGGTTCAACATTTAATATAATTAAATAGTTTAAATTTTCATTATTTTAATAAATGAAAAATGATATCTATTTAGTATAATTGATCGAAACCGGATTAGACCACTCCATGGTCAGAAATTTTTTAAAAAGGTGGCCTGTTGCCACCGGTTTTATGGAATCAGTTATTGTCAGTACTGGAAAAGTCAGGTTGGCTTAAACCTACATTTTTTATCTCAGGCCACGGGTCGAAAATAATGGATTATGCAGATCTAGATTCAATGTTATTGAATCCAACATATAAAATCAATGTTTCTCGAATATTTTATTGATGTTACCGCCTAGCCTTGCATAATTTTATAGGTGGGCTTTGAGAGTTCATTGTTTTAATTGAAACTTTAATTATCTTTATATTATGTGTATTTCTTAAAAATTTATACTGTAATGTTTTTTTTAGATTATCCAATAGTATTCAGGAGTTGTCGACGTTTTACAGGAATTTGAATACAAGTCAAATCCAAAGTGCTAAATACAAATTGGTTAATAAGAAATCATCTATTCACTCTTTCTTAAACCCTACTACCAACTCCAATAACCTTATGCAGAAAGAATTATAAAAGGCTCATTTTTTCCTATTCGTTACAAAAATAAGTTCTCTTCCCCATTGAATTAGTATAATTTGAAATATTTATTTAAGAAATAAATTAATATATTTTGGCGATCTATAAAATATTTTGAAGAAAACCACTATAAAAATTAATATACTTTTTTACTTATATTCTTCATCCGACTTTTAAATGGAATAGAAATCTTGGATTTTAAAATACTTTTAACTTAACACATCTTATAAATAATATTCATTTCTTTCTAAATTAAAATGTTATCTTTTATATGGTTAAATTTTACAAAGATATTTCGAAAAAATCATAATTATTTATACATTATCAGACCTTTTTTGGTTGTATTTACATCGGGTATCAAAATATTTAATTCTACCAAATTATACAAAAAATTAATTTATTAAATATCATTATTCTGTTCGCGACTATTATTATTTTCCTATGCCATATCTTTCCACTTATAAATTTTTGTATTTAAATATGTATATCATGTACATATGTGATGTTAGCCAAAAAATCTATACATACTTAAAAATTAATGTTTTATTTTTACCCCACCGACCTATGGAAAACGTTTTACAGCATATAAAAAATTCATTAAATTTTCAAAAATTCACATATTCTTACGAATCATATAGTGCATTATTTTTAAGTTTAATTGACTATTTGTTTTCATTCGAATAAATTGTTTTTTAAATAAAATAATAATAGAATTTTTTTTATCGCGCATCTAATTTTAAACAAAAATATTTATACTAATCTAATAAAGAACTTGTAATTATTAATAAAATTAAAATGTATATTATTTTATAATGCCAACTAGTGATTTGCATAGGGTCCGGCCCGATCTTAAATGAATTTTTATTTATTTATTACGAAAGGCCCAGTTCCAGTCCGAAATGAAGATTATTTGCCGCTCGCCGAATTTATTTAAATATATAAAAATTTAATTTATTTTAAAAATAAAACGCCTTGCTTCTTATAAAAAAATTTTAAATATATCAATTTATTTTACAAAATTGGATATTATATTTAAAAATTTAATCCCCGAATTTTTTCCAAAAATATTAGGCCCTAACTTAGCAGATCTTTAATATAAATTCATGCGATTTTTTAACAATAAATTAGTTACAAAACCATATCACCTGCTAGATTAAAGGTTATCAGTAGAAATGTAAAATTATTAAATTTTACCAAAAAATAATTATTTAAATATTCTATTAAATAATTCGTATCAGAACTAACAGGCGCGTAGCCAGCGAAGATCCCCCGACCCTCCCATATCATATTTTTTTATCAAAATATAAAAGGGTTTCATTAATTGTGAATTGCAAAGTATACTATTTCAAATAGGTTATATTCTATTCTAAATATTAGCAAATATTTTAATATTTATTTCTTACTTTCCTTTTATCTCGCGAAAATTTAAAGTTTATTTTACATTTTTTCAGTCAAAAAACTATTTAATTACTCTCTATTAATAATTATGATTAGAAAATTTTTAGAGTGTATGAAATGTTCAGATATCCAATTAGACAGAATTTGCTGAATATAATTATTTCTGAGACTTCTTGTGCTACAGAAAATAAGGAACTGCAAAAACTTGCACTTCAGGATAGAACCCTCGATATTAAGCGTTACATTTTTTAGATCTAAAAGCGCCTATTTTTATGACCTTGGAGAAATATTAGATTCACCGGAAACCCATGAAGCTGATACATTAGATTTAATACAACTGCCAATTTTTTTCATTGGAATATATTATTTATTACACGGTAATTTTATGCAATATTTTTCAAAAAAATGGATTTGACTGAAGTTATGAGCGCGCCCAGAGATAATATTGACTAGGAATTTATCGAGATTTATATGTTTGTTTAGGTGAAAGCAAAATAGTGATTTTAGATTTTACAAGCTCGACTTACCGACAAACAAAGGATCATTGTAAAGATTTAATTTTGACTCAAATCAATGAACGATTTATGATTCATCAATTGGCTCTATCCAATTTACAAATACCATATCTCATAACTTGCTCTAATCTAAGGATATATCATTTTGATATTAAAAAAATATTTAGCTAGATTTTATTCAGATAATAAAAATGTACATGAAGGCCAATTAATTTCAGAATTTAAATGGTATGAAAGATTAATTTTTGTAGATAATCCTCCAGTGGCTTGCATTGCATACTTAAAATATATTTTATAAGTTTTCCAAATATATTAAAATTACTGTATATTATGCCAATGAGAAGATTTTTTCCTCATTACAGAGAATAAAAACCTATATCAAATATATGGCATCTTAAAATTGATTGAATAGACTAGTTTTACTCATCGAGATCTAATCCCCAACATAAAACGTAATAAAAATTTTTGAGCAAAGATGATTAAATTTTCATTTATGACGATATTTTGACTAACTTTTTAGATCATTATAAATTGTTTAATTTAATATTTAATTGTGATTTACATACCGGTTTATATAGCTATAATATTTTTTAACCGTATTATATATGTTCATATTTTCAAATATGATTGGTTCTAATAAATTTTTAATGCTCCAAAAGCAAAAATTTACCCCCCCCCCCTCTGTAGAAAATTCCTAGTTACACGTTTGCGAACAAACAAATAAGTTACTATTTGTATTCGTTGCAATTGGAATTACATTTGGCTCGTTTTTAAATAAGCCTAATAAATAGTAGCATCATAAAATTCTTATTAGAGATATCGATAAGAAAATAATGTTTATAAAGGGCAAAACTTGTCATATATATTATATATAAGGTAAGCAACGCGAAATGAATCTTATTTATGATTCATCAGTACAAAACAAAATGATAGTAAGAAATTTTAAAAAAACAATTTATCAAAAAAAGCGATTTTTACATGATTAATTCAGGCATTTCATTCATTCATAATCTGTTTTACAATATGCGATTAAAAATATTTTGAAAATAAAATTAGATCCATTCATAACTTGAAACTATAATTTGATTTTAAAAAAAATAAAAATATAATTTTAACTGAATTACCCCATTTAATTTAAATAGTGTCTCCTTAACATTTAAAATTGTCACAAAAGAAGAGGAAACTAATGAACTTAAAATGGAGACTTATAAATTAAAATGCCTTAAAGAACGTGATTTCGTTGAAAAAACTTTGTATATTTCATTCAATTATATATAATATATTTTATATACAAAAAATAATTTTCGGTAAAAAAATGGAATTTTTTTTTAAAATTTGTTTAATAAATTTTTTGTAGTTAAAAAAACAACAAGAGGAAAAATATGAGAAAATAACCAGCAAATCTTAATACGAAGCCGACACAAATATAACATTCTTGGACAGTTATTTTTTAGAATACAGGTATTTTTCACTTGATGATTATGAAAATTAAGTTTTTTTGAAAAATATAATTATTGAGTGTTTATCACAACCTTTTATACCTATTGGAATTGGCCGAATTTGTGTTATGAATAAAATTATTATGAGGACAATTTTTATTATAATTAATGTGATTGTGATGATGCGAAGATATGTGATTGGGGGCCATATGATTATTAAGAGAGTTGGGAACGTTAGGCACGAAACGGTGATTCAAATTATTTACGTGGTTCGTACCAAGGGAGTTCATAGCAGTCAGATTTGTATATTCTTGGTAACTGGCCGAAGCTTTTTGACTCTTGTATCTAGTTAATTTGATGCTTTCTCGAAAGTCATTAGTTATAGGAGACTTGTATCCACCTTTTCTAAGTAAGGAATCGATAGTTTGAAGTTTGTCCCAACCTAAAAATATATATGACATTAATTATACTAAATTTCTAGTTTTTTTGTATCATCGGAAGGTATTTATTATTTTTAGACATAAATTATCATTGTAAAATAATTTTTTATCAAATGAAATCAAGCACACGTCTGTATTGAATAAGTTTATGGTTTGTGAAAATAATTAGTAAATAAAATCCGGCGGATTTGAACTCGGTTCAGGTTAGATGTCTTGATTAAATCAAACAATTTGTAGTGATGTAATATGGTATATAATTTATTTTTGCTGACTTAAATCTTTATGAATTGTGGTATTAACACTAGAGAACTGCAAAGTAATTTTTTCGCAACCCGAGCCCGAATTTTAAATTTTTTTTGTCCGAGCCCGACCCGAGCACACATTTTTTAATCCAACCCGACCCGAGCCCGACCCGAATAAAATTTTGCAATTTAAGTTTTAATATTATAATAACTAAAAAAAAATTTATGTGTTTTATTCAGTTCAGCCACCTTAAATAAAAGTTTATTTGACAACCATAATCTATTCAAGATATATATTAAGTTGCATTTTTAAAATTTGTAAAAAATATTATAAAACGATTAATATACAAGCGAATTTAAAAATTATAACGATTATATAATAAGCATCATTTATGCGAATATAGATATGATGTAAAAGTTAATAAATATATAAAAAATATAATGAACATATTATATTATATATTGACCTCATCAATATCATTATCAAAATTATCACAAAGTGAATAATTATGATATATAAATAAAGAGGCGTCCAGTTTATCTGGCTTTAAACGAGTCCTTCTCTCCTCAAAGGCCCTACCAGCAGCTGAAAACGCCCTTTCACTGCTAGCCGACGAAGCAGGGATAGCCAGGAATTTAAGAGCTAAAATACTTAAATTTGGAAACTCATAATGGTTTGTTTTCCACCATTTTAAAATATTATCGTCATCAACACATAATTTCGGATCTAGATATTTTTTTAGCTCGTCAACTTCGGCGCTAGCATCAGAATACGCATTGTCAGCCTCCCATAGAGAGAAGTCCAAAAACGTATCTATCACCTCTGTAGTTTCTTAAGAAAAAAATATTCAATAACAATATTAAGATATATATTTACATTATTATTTTTTAATAATTTTACATATTTGATGATTAATATTTTTTTTGATATATGATATTTTTATAAAATTTATGTAATTATCATTATTCAACATTGATTTAATAAAATTTGAATTTTATTTAGTGATAATAAAATAATTAAAGGAAGTACTGAAAAAGAAAATTTTATTTCAGTAATTTTAGGAAAATTTGTCTAACTTTTTTTTGGAAGTAAATATTAATCTAAGATTTTGTATTTATTATCTCCAATATTTTTTAAATATATACTCAAAATTTTAGATCTCAATTTTTAATATGTTTTGAGATATATCTAATCAAAATTTGGGGTAAAATAGACCCCACCTTTGTAGTTAAGGGAGTTTTTTCTACTTTTGTAGTGAAGGGTTAAAACAAATGTTAAAAAAGACAATGTATAGGCTAGTTAAATAATAAATAAAACTTACATAAAATATGTCTTATCTTGTAATTTACGAGAAACATAATTTAGTAATAAAATAGTTTGGTATCCGGTTGTTAGGTTTATAAAATAATAATTAATAATGACATGACATGTTAATATGATTGACATTTTAATCCTAAAATGTGATAAATATTAAATAATATGATTTTATAATTAATATTATAAATTATACTAACTATTTAAGATATTAATATTATTATATTTATTTTCGGGTCGGGTTTTCGGGTCGGACAGCTTTTACAACCCGACCCGAGCCCGAACCCGAGAAATTTTTTTTTGATGACCGAACCCGACCCGAGCCTCGGGCTCGGGCCGGATCGGGTCGGGCTACGGACAGCCCGTGCAGTTCTCTAATTAACACTATTAAAAAAATATGCAAAGTATTGAAAAATTATAGGAGAAAGGTGTTGATATAAGAGATATTGAAGCCTATGTAAATTGTAGAATACAACGGGATTCCAGCCATATAATTTTAATTCGTCCAAAAGCTATCCTTGCTCATTTTTGTTCTACAGGTAAAGTTTTCATTTATCTTGGAGTCGTTAAATATTATGGGGAAAGATTCTACCTACATTGTAATGATAAGTAGCTCTGTGAATGTTGTACTACAAGATAAGTGATTACAATTGCTGCAACCGTAGTTGCATCTGTATTATTTCTTATTTTTGGAGAATATATGGATATAGATTCACTCTCCTGCACTGATTATAATAATGTGATTGAACAATAATAAATAAAATAATTATCATTGAAATGAGTACAATATTATCTTATTATGTATTTAAACGTGATACGTGATAATTAAGCGCCTATCCCTATAATGTTATACACACATGGTAGATTTCCAATTGCGGATGTTTTGCGGGACCTTCGCATAAAATATATTTTTTACATTGTAAAATTAAAATCGTTTGTTTTTTTATAAAATTTTATCTTGTTTACATTCTTTTATATTTAAAAAGGATCGTTGGTTATTTTTTATAAATTAATATATTTTAATAAATCAAGATGTTATTTTATTTTGAAAAATAGTTACCGAATTTGTATTTATATAAACTAATTATAAAAAATAATAAGCGGATTAATTAATTTATTAACAAATTTTCATATTTCTCCAGCAATTTTTATATTCTTCCCGCAAAATACCAAATTTCTCCCGCATTTGAAAATTTTGACCTGGCAACCCTGTTTACAATAGCCGAGGGAATTCATCAAGGGTCAGCTCTCAGCCCACTTCTCTTCATAACAGTAATAGATGTATTATCACGGTTTATACTTCAAACAGTCCAAGGAATATGATATTGTGATACTTGCCGAATCCAAGGATGAAATGAAAGAAAGATTAGAGAGTTGGATAATTATCCTAGAAAAGCACGAACTAAAAGTAGTATATGGTGATAAGAGTAGATGAAACAGAGAGCATAGATATGAATAAATGACAGATATCGGCAATTGAAAGCTGCAAATATTTGGGCTCCACTATACAAACAAACGGCACAATAGAGAAAGAGATAAAGAGTAAAATTAATAAAGGGGGGTTAAAGTGGAGATCTTTATCTGGTGTGCTCCTTTAGGGAAAAATTTACAGTTCCATAGTACAACTAACTTCGGAAACATGGCCAACCAATGAATCAGACGAGAGAAGTCTACAAACTATGGAGATGAGAATGCTGAGGATGATTGCTGGGGTAACAAGAAAGGATAAGGTGCGAAGTACAAGAATACTAGAAAGTTTAAAGTAGTGCCCATTAAGACTAAGATAATGATAAACAGACTTAGGTGGTATGGGCACACAATGAGAAAGTCTATGAACTATATAGGAAATAAGGTTGAGAGTTTGGAAGTGATGGGCAAACGTAAAAGAGAAAGACCAAAACTTCAATGGGGCCATAAAGTTAGAGCCAATATGAAGAAGTATAAATTAGATAATGAGATAACATGAATAAAATAAAGTGGAGAGATATGAAGTAGCCCACCAATTTTATAAAAACTCTAGATATAAAAATTTCGGTGAGATTTATTATGATTGTATTAATGACTAAAATAATAAAAAATTCCACTATTATAATTAAACTTTACTCTTCACAGCAATCAGAAAGGTTTTTAACATAATGAATAATAGCTCGCATATGTATAATTAATTTTAAATTAATTTACTTTTTCAAAATATGTTTACTAAATATAGGTTATTTTGTATATCAACTAACTATAATATCTTTGACATATTTATTAAAAATCTATAAATAAATATATTTTAGATATTTGTTCACTTTAATGAACTATCTAAAATTACAAGTTTATTGGAATATTTTAAACAATAACTAAGATTATATGTAAAACACTACAAGTGTATCTAAGATTTTTGCTAGAGGTTGAAAACCTTTGGGTAATTTTTTTACATAATTTAATAGAATAATGTTAGACTCCCTCTTTGAAGGCCTTTGGCCAGTTTATATTTTAAATTTTAATAGGTTTATACTCCTTTTTTAAAAATTTCTCACAAATATTTTAAGGTCGTTATTTTTAATATTTTCTTATTATTTTTATGACATCATATACACATTTTTAGTTTTTTCATAGGGGTAAATAGTTTATAATTTTTAAATAATATTTACCAAATGGGTGGGGATTTTTACTCCCCCCCCCCGTTTATATGCTAAAATATTTTATGTTAAAAACATTTTTACGCCATATTCTTATAGAGACCCTGGTATATATTTTTATCATAATGAAAAATTATTTTATATGATGAATATTTAAAATTTTTCTTCTATTTGATAAAAATATATTTCTTTAGAATAATACATCACATTTCAATTTTCGCCATCTAATTTTTTACATAATCATATTTTTTTTAAAAATTATTCAAATATTATTTATAGCTACCGAAGACGATACTATTCAAGAACATATTAATGCGATCAACAAAATTAGGCAAATTTCGAAAGATGGTCTAATTGTACAAGCTAAAAGAATGAAAAGGGCTAGGGATAAAAAACTAAAACCTGGAGAAATAGGTGATTCCGTATTATTGCCAATTCCATCTGTCGATCAAGGGAGACTGAATCACAATATGTTGTTGGCAGTAATTACGGATAAATCCACAGAAGGATTTTATAAATTAGGAACTAGTCGCGGATATTTATCAGGTCATTTTGCTAGGTCACAATTTGACCTAGCAAAAAATAATTTCATTAACATTGGAGATGTACCACCTAATCATTATACCTTTAGAACAATGGTTGGCATATCTTCAATATGATCTGGGTCAGCGTCTACATGAGCGGGAGGGGTAGGAACAGTTTGCATCCTATTTTTTGAGGGGAAAGGGGGTAGGCTGCGTTAATGTGGGTAGGATAAACTTTTTGCGGGTTATCTATTAAATTTTGAGATGAAATAGGACAAAATTTATTGCTGTAAA